AGTAACCATTGTGCTTGAATCAAAGTAACTGAACCCAAGTGTTTGGTGCATACTTTTGTCATACATTTATGGCAAGGAAAAATATAGTCATTTTATTATAATGGGAATAGCTTTTTTTCCCCTTCTGTATTGAGAGGGCAACACTTACAAGTGGAATTAAACACTGGAATGATTGAGTAATGTAAAATACCTGTCCCCTTACATTTCTAGTACTTTTGGCTTAAGATACATCATGGTCCAGATTTCTAACAGTCGATTGCAGGCAGCAACAGAAGTTCCCCATTTAGTTTTAAATTAACTTGTGTTTTAACAATGTTATATTTAACAATGTGCAGAAGAGAAAACTTAGAGCCCGATAGTTACTTCCCTACTTAAAACCAATTTTGTAAAAGCCTGGAGTAGGTATTTCCTTCACATGGCATTACTGAAAGTGCGAAACAAAACCTGTTTTGAGTTAAAATATTGCATTCCAAATGAAACAAAGCAAAGAGCTTAAGTGTTTTTTTTGTGTAATAATAATTATAAAAGTACCTTGCCGAGAGGTGAAGCATGGGTAATGTATTAACTTAAAGGAGGACAAAAAATGAGACTGATTAAGGGTGGTTGTGGCTGTCACTAAATAACGCTTCAGAGAGGATTACTGTTATAATTGCCTGGAAGAAATTTTTCTTATTGAATAAAAAGCTACTCTTTAAGCCATTAAGTAGATTTCAGAGAGGTGTTATTAGGCAAATGTGTACTCTTATTGTGGAAGAAAGGTAATCAGTACTTGGCAAAAGCATACAGAAATCATCAGAAATTGAAATGTTTACCTTTGGATTTCAGTTCCTTGATTAGGATCCATCAAGGATATTGCTGCTTTCACTAGAAATGTCCTGAGTTTGTGTGAAAGTGAAATTCATGGAGTCATGCAAGTTGGAAAGGTCCACCAGAGATTTTCTAGTCCTAGTAACAGCAGTCACTGCAAGGACAAAGCCAGCTCCAGGCTTGGATGTAATCTTGGATGTCACCATCTTCCTTTGTTTCCCTGTAAATGTGCAGTTTCATTTCAATCTGGGATGAACGAGATCTAGGGTTTTGATCACATACCATAATATTTTTCAGTGGATTAGTCAGACTGACGTCTGACTAGTGGATATATAGATATATAGGTAATATCCACTGTGGATTTCAAAATTTTTGAAGTTATTTTTAAGTAAATGCCAGTGTAAAAAATTAATTGGAAGATTTTTCTCAACCTACCAGCATGCAAATTAATAATCCTCTGCACTAAAGTTCAGCATGGAAAGTATCAGGCTCAGAGAAAGTATATGGAAGCAAGATGTTTTAATAGAAATCTGCATTTAACCTTATATATAAGCACTTGCCATCAGCAAAATCTGTGCTCTATTAAAAAAATCCGTTGTTTTCATCCAAACTCTCTTCAATCCCCTTTTCTTTATTTTCTTCTTCTCTCTTTCTTTCTACGGTATAGTTTTATTGTTGTAAAGCACACAGACAGAAACAGCACCCATTTTTCCCACCCATTGTCTGTGCATTTGTGCACTGGATCTTTCTTCTGCCGTTTCTACGAAGAGCAGCTGTGAAAGCCTAGCTCAGATCATGTGGTGGTACTTGCTTTTTCAAGCTTAGCTACTGCTTGCCTATTCAAATAGCTAGAAGCCTGGCAGAGCAGAGCTGGCTTTATTTGTTGAGTCTTGTCTAGCGAAGTGAAAAGGGCTGATATTTTTTTTTTTTTTTTTTTTTTCTGGCTGCATTTTTGCACATGTGGGGGTAGGGAATGAAATTATTTCTTTTGTCCTCTACTTGCAGCTCATTGAGAAGCAGGCATGCATATAAAATTACTGTATCTCAGGGCTTACCTTTAGGGACAGAAGGGAGAAAAAACACATTTGTAAGCTCGTCTGGAAACACTGAGGATGCTGAGAGCAGACACAAAAGTGGGAGGTAACAGAATAATAAAACGCAACAAATAGAGGACTAAGAAAAACCTTTCAAATGAACATAATGACAGTTTAATGTTGTCCCTTGTAAGAAATACCACATTACTGGATGTATCAAGGGGGCAAAAAATCGTTGTGTTGGTGTGTCCAAGACACAAGAGCACCAAAACTCAGAAGTATAGTTTTGAAAAATCACCATGAAAAATATATAACAGAGATCTGCTGGGTTTTTTTCTCAATATTAAATTATACCTGCAAATAAAGAGATGTTATCTTGAGGGGTGAACTTCAGTGATGGAGGGTGAAACACAATCCTGTTTCTGTCTAGGTTTAGTTGACACCTAAGTGGATCAATGAATACTAAACTCCATTTCAGCTTTCAGGGAGCTTTTGTGGGTTTTTTAACTACATATTCTTACCTAACTGTTCTGCAGTCAGATAGTAAAGCTACAGTCTCCTTCGGTTCTCCAGCTCATGTTACTGTCTGTGAACTTTGCTTTGGGTAGCATTAATGATTCATATGGTTTGTAGTGGTTTTAACTACGAGTGAGTATAAGCTTTACTGTAGCTTTTTTGTCATATGAAGCATAGGGTTTGGGCTGGCTGGCTGGCCAGGAGCCTGAATGGAGCTTCAGGGTAGCTGTTGTATTCTGGTCTTCTGCATGTTTAGAGTATTTTGGGTAGAGAATGCAGTGAGGTAGGAAAGGAAGTTTTCAAAATCAGCACCAGATGCTAAAAATCAGTTTGTTTGCAAAGCTATCTTATATACTCTGAGTACTAAACAGATGGGATTAATTAATGGAGTCTCTGGAATATATTATATTATTGATATATATTGATACGTTCTTGATCCCTAAACGAATGGCTTGTTGAAATTCCAAATGTTAGATATTAGGTATGAATATGATTTAGTCAGTTTACTGAATGAACTTGAAAACAAATATGAAGAGTTCACTGAGATTAAAAGAAGTCTAGTTTGGGAATCCATGGATACTAAAATACAGTGCTCATTATGGTTACTCTTCCATACTACACATGCAAACTCAGAGCTGTGAAATGAGTAATTTACTGAAATTTTTAAAATCTTTTATTTGACCCACAACCTAGTAATCTGCATTAAACTCTTAGAAAAAAAAATCTGAAAAAGTTTTAATTTCAGCTAGGAGTGCTTTGATAGGTCTACAGACACACAGATGCCATTGTCCAAATTTCTAGCTTGCATTTGAACAAAGCTGGTGGTGGTATTTTATATATGTATAATGTGTATAGCTACTTTTCCTACAAAAATTACACAAGCAACGGAATTTGAATGTTATTTCGAAACTTTCAGCGAAGTGAGGAATCTGAACCATGACCTCTGAGATAGAAGTGTGAAGTCGTCTAACTTCACTGTAGTGCCTTTCGTTCAGTTTTCCCCTCCAAACTCTGTACTTAGCTGACCTAATTTAAAAAGGATTAAAAATGTTCATCCGCTTTATAAACTGTTGTGAAGGGAAGAGTAGGGCTGGGGAGAAGCTATGAAAGCTGAAAATTGTGAAAGACAATGAAAGCAGAAAAGCACGTTCTCATAATGAGATAACTTTCACTTGACTGGAAGGCATGGGTGCAAAAGCTGCCTGCTGGACATGGAGCCAACAGGCACAGAAATTTGTATTTTGGTTAACAGTGTATACTTCTAACAACTTAATCAATGTTGAGTGGTATTTTACCCTCAGTCTGAGAGTAAAGACTAGCTGCCTTTAAGGATGGCAAAATCTGCCTTTCAATGTATTTGGTTTGGGGATGAGAGATGGCAAGATGTGGCCACCTCCAGTCCATGAAAATGTGCATACTGTATAAAACATATTATGGTTTATTGTCCTGATGGTTAGTATACCATTTCTCTGTATTTTCACAATTTATCAATTCATGTATTGAATTTCTTAAAAATGTAATTTCCTTCAAGTCTTCATTTCTTGAGATGGAGGAACAGGATAAACTCAAACAATTGAAACAGTGAAACAAAAGTTCACAGTTAGTTCTTTAAAAGTAATGCAATTTGTGTCTCCTGAATGCTTAGTTTAATATTAATAATGCTCATAACTATAAATTCATTGGTTCTTAAGTGCTTGAGTTCTATGAGAAATACTAGATAGACTAAATTAGTCTCACAGAGCAAAAAGTCATTTAGGAAAAGATAAGTGTTTCATGCCTTCTGTATCCTGTTTTATGATGGTAGTGTTGAGGTTCCTTGTTGTTTTCATAAGTCTTTGGATATTATTTTATTCTAACAAATTTGTACACTAAAACACATTAATATTTCTGGCCACCGTATGTATTAAAACAAATTTCATACTCCGACATGTTTGGTGTCCAAAAGGAAGTATTGTACTGTTCATCAATACCTAATAATTGGCAATAATATCCTGAACTTCAAAAAGCATAATCTGGTACTGCAAAGTATACTGTAAGAAGTGATGTTTTCAATGAATAGACATGTTAAATGATTTCCAGAGATCTTTCACATGCAGTGTATCTTACATGCCCTTTTAGTATTCAGAGTCTCTTCTGCTTTAAATTTCAGTAGAAGTGATCTTATTCACACAGAGAAAGTTTTGATCTACTGAGTCACATGCTTTGATTTGCAGCTTGGTAGTATCAATCAACTGAGCTTTGGAGAAAGCTCCGTTCAATTTCTAAAGTAAAAAAATCTGTACAACGTTTTGATGAAATACTTTTGGAGAAAAGTTGGCAAAATAAGTATTTTACATTCAGTTTTAAACTGCATATGCAGGAAAGCTGATTTCATAGTGAATAAAAAAATAGTAGTATTTTTTTTCCTGTTTCAATATTTCAGAAATTTTATGTAGCTTCATACTGTGTGATGAGTGTACATCACTTCAAAACAAAGTCTGTTTCTTGAATTGTTTCAGAAGTACCAAGAATATTCATTCATTAAGAAGCAAAATTAATTAAAAATTATTCTTTTCATGTTGTATTGTATATGCCTTTTTGTGAACCTAATTAAAATACTCAAGTAATCTTAAATTTATTTGTTTTATTTTTTATTACCTTTAGAACCAACATACATCACAATAGGTCCGCCCACGTGTGAGATTTTGGTGAACTGCACTTTGACTGAAAAAGACTGTATCTATAGTTTCAAACTGGACCAAAATGGTTGCCGCATTTGTCAGTGCAAAACTAGTGAGTATGCAAAAATACAGTGGCTTCTACCTTTTATGTCAAGCTGTATGTGAAAATGCTAGTATGCTGTTTTTTCCATTCGTAACATTGATTATATGTTGTGTTAGTATGTGTGTGCTTTAGAGTTGTTCATCTTTAAAGGATAGGTTCCTAATTTCTGACATTGCTTGTTTGCTTGCTTAAAATGTGTTTGGAGCAAAACATAAAATGTCTGACTTCAGGTGAAAATTAACAGCTAGGTAGAAAAGGTAATAATTTGGGACTTAATATTCATTCAGACTTTGAGAAGGCTGATAAGACCTCCACGTTTCATTTTTCTCTGTGTATGTAAAGAGTTTAAGAGCATCTAGCTTTGTGCGCTTCAAAAACCCCTATTGCTCAACAGCCTATTTTCAACTTAGCCTTTTTTCCTCAAAACTTAGATTTTTGGGGGATAAATGTTTGAAAATTATATGCCTGCGGGGGTGTTTCTATATACACAAACATATCCTTATATAATTTTATTTCTATAACATATATTTTATATATATATATATATATATATACACTACTTTAGTTAGGATTTATGCAGGCTTCAACATCTGTTTCCTCCCCAAGGAAAATCATTGTGCCTTGTAAGAACTTTGTGTGTGTCAGTGAAGCAGTAAAAACGTATTTTCTGTATGTGTTTCTTTAAGATGTTTACAGATGAAATATAAAGCAAGGTCAGGTTGGTTGTTGGAATTGCCCAACAAAGGACACCAGTGGAGTACTAGTCTCAGCTGCAGGATGTGTCACTCTGGCTGCCAGCCCAGCCTAGCAGTGAGCAGTGATTTTATTGGTTCTGCAGCTTCCTTGTAGCCTCTTGAGGCTTTCACAACTAAAGTATTACTCTGTTCCTCTTCTTTTGATTTCAGTCCACCCGTTCTCAGCCACTGTCTAAACCAATACGACTATTTTAGGGGTCCTCAGTAGAAATGGTCAAAATAAAACTCCAAATTGGTACAAACTAAAGAGTTTTAGGATTGGATTGGTGTTTTGCTTAAGGAACAAGAAAAGGGTTTGTCCTGGCTTTTTTACCTTTTTTTTTTTTTTTTTTTTTTCCTGGGGAAATGTGCATTTTTTTGTTTCCGTAAGGTAAAGGACAGGACATCCTAATAACAAGTAAATATATGGCAAGCAATAATGTCGTTATGGTAATACAGAAATAATACTTTTGATTACAAGTTGTATTCATGGCAAGGACAACTTTCCATAGATTGCATCCAAGCTATCGCATACATGCCTTACATAGTTCGTCCTAACGACAAAATTAGAAATGTTAAGTTCTGCTTTTATCATTGTGATTTGATTTTCCTTCTTTTTTTGTTGTTGTTAAATTGATTGGGGAGTTTGACACAAACAAGATGGACATACTCGGCAAATTTCATCATCTATGCCTGTGCATGCAGTCCTTCCTTCCAGTTTGGTGCACAGGAGACCCATCACTGCAAAGGATCATTTCTTTTGTCCTAGATTACCAGATTGCACGTGTACGCATACCACATCCCAGGAAGTCTCTGTTCTTGCTTGGAGTGTTTGATTAAATAGTGCTTAAGAACCTATTCAGGGGAATTTTTCTCTTGTCGGATTTGCTTGAAGTTATGTTCATTTTGCAGTAGCAAACTGTCTGGAGCAAACTTAATAGTATCATTTGTCTGTCATCTTTTTTCAGTGAAATAACTTGAATTGTAGATTGCTTAAAAATCTCCTCAGTCATTCAGAGAGGGGAAACCTTTATTTTCTAAAGAAATGAAGACAAATAACAGTTTGGAAGTCTTCATCACTTGGTGGTTATCAGTCAAAATGACAGAAATGGAATTTTTCTATCAAGTAATGTCTCCCGCTTGCAAGGCTCTGGACAAATGAATGTGTGAGCACTGAGAAGAAAGGAATTTTAGGTCAAATATGCTGAAAATGTACTGCACTAGTTCTCTGCATTTTGAGATCCTATGTACTTTCATGTCCAAGGCAGTTTAGTTGCATCTTGGCTCTCTAAGAATGTGAGAATGTGTATTATCTTTAGCTCGTGTACACTCCTGTGGACTTCTGGGAGCATCACTGTCTTTATACTGCACCCATGTGTTTCTTGCTGGTCTAAGCTGCTCGACTGAGTGAGATTTAAGGTGCTTGAGTAAAGGAGGCTCACATGACCCCCATTACCACTTGAAGTCATCATATCCTAATTCTACTAATATCTTTCCAATAGTTTCCTTTTTTGCTAATTTCTCTTTAGAGGTCTCTGCTGAAGATTTGTGATACGTCAATCTATTTCAGCCAAAATAAAAGCAAAATGACAAAGTGGAAGAACAGAGTAAAGCTGTACATTGTTCCTCATTATTACCTTCATTTACATTCCTGTAGCCAAAAATCAGTACCACAGGTTTATTTGAAATAATTGTCTAAGTACGATATCATGAAACTTGTTTGGTGCTTTATTGTAATTTAGTTTCAAGTTTATCCAGCTTAACTCAAGCCAACTACAGAATGAGAAGGAAGAAAGAAGCAAATTGTAACATTTCTAGAATACGATTTTAATAGAAGTAGTTTACTTTGTCCTTTATACTACTTCCTGTTTTTTGCAGTGAATGCAAAAACATGCTGTAACAACATGCAGTGAAAACATACATGCTGTAAAGTAAAATAAAAATCGGAGGCAGACCACAGTTGCAAGAGAAGGGAAGAAAAAACTACCACTGAGCAAAGAATGAGCATAGATAGATATGGGGGGAAAGTTCCAGTGGGTAGAGATGGAACACAAATGATGAGGGAGAAGGAATGATCATACTGACCGGGAGCGTATAGAAGCCAAAGCAGCACTACATGAAGATAAAAGGAGAAAAGTATAATCCAGGATATAGGAAGAACCACTGCAAAATACCAAGAATAAAACTAAAACAGCAAAATGCATTACCAAAAAAAAAAAAAAAAAGATGCTATAAGATGTTACAAGAACAAGAAAAAATACAAAAAAGTAAATAACCAAAAAATTGTTACTTGTAGGATGCTATTGTGTTTGGAGTGTCTAGGCCTTTGCTTTCATAGGGAGAACTGAAGTGGATTAAAGTCTTTAGGAGGAGGGGTACATTAGGGGAATGAAACAAGACCAGTGATCGGCTCTTTGTGAGGCAGGACTCCTGTTGCTCTGAAGAGGACTAACGGGCACATTGAATAATGCCTGCTGATTGCAGTAACATAGGACTTAAAATCTGATAGTTGCTGCTGACACTAAATCATTCTTCAGTGAGAGTCTGCAGTGAGGGCCAGTATTTTATCTGGCCTTGTCTATTCCCTGTATTATATTCATGAAAAAGAAAAAGCCTTTAAAATCTGTCCTGCAACTTAGACTATAGCATTTTACCCCAAATGAATTGAACATGAAGTACTATTCAGGGTGTAACTGCCAGCACGTATGGCTTTCGTATTTTTTAACCTTTCAGATCTTACTAAAGTTGAATTAAATTAGAGCATTGCTGTCAATTTTTAAAATTGCTTGCTTCATTTAGAAGGCTTACTTTTGCAGTTACAAGATGCAATTGTCAAGCAATTTCATTAATTCCGGACTGCTTATGGAGAGACACAATTGTAGAAGGCTGAGAGGAGTCATTTTCCCTGCACATTATAGTGCACCATCATCCACTTTGTGTCGTGGTCTCTTTTGTCTGTCAAAGCAAACCATGAAATCACTGTTCAAAAATTAGAAGTCTTGGTATATTTTGTGTTTGCACAGTTCTCTAGACATAAAACCACCCCTTTCCCCAAACACATTCTACATAGATACAGAAATATTTTTGGAGGATTTAAGACCTTTTCCTTAAATGAGCAGGAAATGTATTCTGCCATGGAGTTTAGAAGGAGTACTGTGATTCACTCTACACTAGCAGACATCCGCATCATGGACTTCAATATTCTGGCGAGTCACACCACCTCCCTTTATAGCTGCTGAAGCGGAGTGGAATTCTGATGTGGAATTTGGGTGTGGCAGTGTGGGACTTGGTTTAGTTGTGCAGACGTTCAAAGGCGGGATTGGAAGGTTTGAGGAAAGTTAGGTAGGTGCATCTATGGGCTGTCTATAAAAAGCAACGGTTCAGGCTTTGAAAAAGTGTATGGAGTGATAATGGGAAAAAGCCTAAGAAAAACTTTGCAGGGACTGCAATGGGAGAATACATCTCAGCTCTTTTCTGTGTGTTAATCATTCAGTAGTTACAGTTTGGGATGGGTTTTCCTAGCCTTTCACTCTTCCTAGCCAAAATTTGAATATTTCATTCCTTTATTCCTGTAAATAATCCATACTCAGGGTTATGTTCTGAGCACTTCAGAACTCCCTCAGTGTTAATTTTGTCCATTTAAATAAACATAATTTTTGTGAATTTTTATATCAAACTAAGGTGGGACAAATAATCACACACGCTAATCATGCACAGCGTACACTTCAGATAATGCAAAATTCCTGGAAATAGTAAAGTAAAATATAAATTAGGTAACACTTTTTTCTATTTTAGTAACAATTATCTCCCATTGTTACCTTCATTTAGCATCAAATTCCATGGAAAATAAAAATAATAAAAACAAAGACAATCCAGGTAGTCTTCCTTAGTGCAAAAAGAGCACATCTTGGATTTTTGAATAATTCTGTAGACCTGGCAGAGCAAGGATGTGTTGTTACCCTTCTGCAGTGATGTGAAAGGCAATAGCTATTACGTATTAGATGTCAGTTAGTGAAATACAGCCATGGAAAATTGGGGATGAAGCATGTTTCTTAAAAATTTAAGGCTTAGATCAGAGAAAAGTACATATTCTAAGTAGAATAGAAATATTAACTGTAAGTACACATATGGAAGATAGGGGAAGTGCTCCCTGAAGAGGGTGGAATTATGATGAACTAACTACTAATGCCAAATATATATTATCTGTCTTCTCACTAGAAGAAAAGTCTTCGGCGGGGATCTCTGAAGATTACAACAATATATTGGTTTTAGTAA